GTCCGAGCCAAACTGTCATCACCATGCGTGCTGCTGTTACATGAAAGGAAGGGGCAGATAGAGTCATCGACCATCACCTGAGGATCCAGTCACCTCTCCCTAATTGGATGCAACACCACTCTAATTGTTTGGGGCCTTGGGGCTTCAGAGAGGGGCTGGAGTATAGATCTGGGGAAGACAAGAAGAGGACTCTGTGCGCACAGCCGTCATCCATGCTTGGGATAGGCTTCCTAATGCAGCTGCTTTACAGCTACCTCCCTGGAATTCCTTGCTCATGCTTTGTGAGTAAGCCTGATGAACTCACTACTCCCTTGGGTGTAAGATTTGGTGGGATTTACTTTTGGCATGTCGTTGGAAGTTTGAAAGGAAGCAGATAGACATTACCTGTAGAGAATTCTCCCAACCAGTAAGAAAAGTCTCCCAACAGGACCTTAAATGTCTGCCACTGCTCAAAGGAGGGCCAGGGCCACTTGATTCACATCTTATTGTGGCGTGAAAAGAGGTTGCTCTGTATTGCATTTAGCCAGTGAGATGCTGGGGGTGTTTGTTATGACAGTTTGTGTACTCACTAATACAGGCAGACCACACACACACACACACACACACACACACACAATCTTGATTCCTACAGTGGCTCATTGTCAGGCAGTGTGTGACCACTGAGACCTACAGCTAGCAACTAGACAGCATGAGATCTGAGGACAGCGATACTGGAAGCTACAATTCTTGACATACAGTAAATATTCAGTAAAATGGGTTGAATGAGCTGGGCAGTGGTGGCTCACACCTTTAATCCCAGCACTCAGAAGGCAGAGGCAGGAGAAGCTTTTGTGAGTTTGAGGACAGCCTCATTGTACAGAGGAAACTCCAGGACCACCACAGAAGCCAGACCAACCCAAGACTTTCTCAGAGACCCGGATGAAAGGAGAAGTGGATTACAGGTTCTGTGTTTTTGTCCAGGAGTGGACTTGGCAAGGCTGGTCTGCAGCTGGATCCAGCCAGTGTCTTGAACGTATTAAGATTGAGGTTTCTGAGGGTTTGACTTTGCCCCCTGGGCTGTGGTTATCAGTCCTAGGTAGGGTAGCTGCGTCTGAGGTGCCCTGTGTTCTCTTTGCCAGTACTACTAATTTAACTCTCTTGCTGACTTTGGACAATTTCCCCTGTAAGCAATATATAAGATACTGTAGTTATTAATACATTTGCTTGGCATAAGTCATCAGCTTAGGCAAGACTGCTCTGTCCCAGTTATTGCTTTTTTATTTACCTGTCTCTTTTATTTCTTCCTTCCTCATTTCCCGACCTGTCCCCCTCGACACCTCCCATCCTGGACCCTTATTCCCAAGAGTTTGGGCCAAATGAACAATATGCACTTGTGGGAGAGCCGTGAACACTGATGGCTGAAGTCTCAAAGCCATCAGGGCAGGTGCCAAACGATTATCCTGAGAATAAACACCTAGGTGGGTGGGCGGGCAGGCCCTGTCCATGAGTCAGAGGTCAGTGAGCGGTTGCTCTGATGCAAGGAGAACATGATTGGAGATGATCCAACCACATAAAGGCCAGGCTGACTGCCACAGCCTGAGGTCCAAAAGCCCTTATGCCTGTGAAAAATATCAACGGTCAAGGCTGGGGATAAAGCTGAGAGGTGGAATCCTTGCCTGGCTTAGCAGAGGAGGCCTGGGTTCAGTTCTCAACACTTCAAGTTGGGGTGGAATGGCCAGCAAATATGTATAGTGTAAATGTTGTTGATTATAAGTAGGAATATAATAAGAACCCCCCCCACACACACATTGGTATTTGTTCTACTTTGCTTTCTGTTGCTGTGCTAAAACACTGACCGAACTAACTTGGGGAGGAAAGGGTTTATTTGGTTGGTACTTCTATCTCAGTCCATCACTGAGGGAAGTCAGGACAGGTATTCAAGCAGGAGGAATCTGGAGGCAGGAATTGAAGCAGAGACCATGGAGAAATGCTGCTTACTGACTCAGTTCTCTTGGTTTGCTTGGCCTGCTTTCTGATACAACCCACCTGCCTAAGGGATGCAATGCCCACGGTGGACAGGGCCTTTCCACATTAATCAGTCATCAATAAAATGCCCCCCTCAACATTCTCACAGGTCAGTCTGATGGAGGCAATTCCATCAGACCAGCATAATGTTAATCTTACCTTTTTATTTTTATTATTTGGTGTGTTTGATAATATTAAGGCTCAGAGAGAAAAACATCTCCTGGATATAATAACCTTTATCCCACGACATTTCTGAGGCCTCACACTGGTGAGCATTCTTGACTTCAAGGCCCAGTTATGTTTTTCACCTATGCTGGGGAATTACGCAGACAGGTTGAAGAGTTTTGAATGGCAGGTGTGGCCATGCATGTCTCTGGCTGTCTCTAGATAGCCACAGGCCGAGAGCCCATTCTAAGCAGGGGTACGCGAACTTGCTTGGGTGTCTTCACTGAGCCCTTCAGGCCTGTCATGAAGAGGTAGATAGTTTAGATTAGCGTGGACCTGTGGCCAAACCCTGAAGCCACCCGGCTCAGGCTTATTAAAAGTCCACCATCCTCACCTTGATGAGCAGAACAACAGGCAGGAACAGGAGCAGAGGGCTGAGAAGACAATGGCATGCTGAAACAGACTGGGAAGGGCCCGTATCCCTCCCTCTAGCAGCAGCTGCTGTGGGCAAGTCAACCTCTTAGTCATCCACACATGACCAGCTGCCAACACTCACAGCCAATGGAATCCATGTGCCCTGTGTGCCAGGCTTCATTGAGCTGAACCAAACAATTATACTTCTGATACGTACTATAAAAGAACTTTATTTCTTAATCTTTATTCCATTTGGTACTTCTGATATGCGCTGTAAAAGAACTTTATATTTATTTATTTACTTTTGGGTTTTCAAGATAAGGTTTCTCTGTGTAACCTTGGCTGTCCTAGAACTAGCTCTGTAGACCAGGCTAGCCTCCAACTCAGAGACCTACCTGCTTTTGTCTCTCAAGTCTTGGGACTAAAGACCACCAACACTGCCCACTAAGAATTAACTAACTTAACTTACATACTTTCCTTCTTTCTTTTCTTTCCTTTCTTTCTTTCTTTCTTTCTTTCTTTCTTTCTTTCTTTCCTTCTTTCTTTCTTTCTCTTTCTTTCTGGTTGTCTTTCCTTACCTTTGTTCCATTTCATTAATAGGCTCACTGTCCTCTCTGCCCTCTGACACCCCCATGTCAGAGATTAAACTCAGGGCCTCCGTGCACGTATGCCCACCACACGTGGGTCAGAAGAGGATGTCAGATCCCCCAGAAACTAGAGTCACAGGGGATTGTGAGCCGCCATGTGGATTCTGGGACCCAATCTGGTCCTCCGCAAGAGCAGCAAGTACTCTTAGCTGCTGAGCCATCTCTCCAGCCCCCTCTCCCTGGCTCTTCTGACACCCTCTCAGCCCTTTCCTCCTTTAGATTGTTATTATTGATGTATACCAGGGTAGCTGGGGCTTGGCAGCACCAGGAACTCGCTGCTATTTATGATAAAGGCGGCAGGGTCCTCCATGCCCCCAAATAATACCCCAATAGTATTATTAATAATAATATTATTAATATTATATTATTAATCAAATAATACTATTCTCATGTCTAAAAATTGTGCGTCTTCCTCCTTAAAAATTCTCCTCTGGTGGTGGGGACTCCAGGTGTGAGATAGGGAGGCAGAAGCGTAGGAAGGGCAGTGTCCTTTCTCTGTCCGAGACCATCTGTCTTAGACAAGAGGACTGGACTTGGAGTTTGTAAGGTCTGTCTGAGTTTGATCCCCAGGACCAAGATGTTGGAAAGAAAGATCTGAACTACATGAGAAGGTGTCGTTTCTACGGGGTTACATGGGAATACACAAAGCCTATTAAGTGTGTAGAAGTGAAGGGTACTGGCCTGCTCAGGAGATCTTGATCCTGTCCCTTCAGAAAGAATTGCAGGTCCCAGTATGTGAGACGCTGGGGACAAGGACAGTAGATTTGAGACCAGCCCGGGCTCCACAGTCAGTTGAGAGAACTGTGTAGACAGACCATGGCTCTCCCTCACAAGTGCCCTCCCACCCGAGGGTCTCCTGGGAAAACACTGCTGTCTCCACCACACCAGGCTCAGGTTTTTTAAAAAAGGGGTTTGAAATGAAATGGGGGAGGGAGGAGTACCGTGAACATGTAAAAGGGGCAGAGAGGGGAGTCAGGGGCTTATCCTTACAGGACCACACCTGCTCAGTTACACTAGTGGCGGCAGGGTCAGCACGGATATAAGGGGAAGGAAGAGACATCCTAAAGTCTCGGGTTTGTTCCAGGGTTATTCAGACCTGGCTGTCCCCATCCAGTGGGACTGTAGAGACAGTCCAGCAGTATGTCCGCCCACTCAGTGGTGACCTCTGGACATGTTTTCTCCATAACTATCATATCTCCTTACCCATTGCCTGGCTGCAAAGCCACCTTCCTACAAGTCATTTCTTCTAAAAACCAGAGTAACACCCCCCCCCCCCAACCCACACACACGTTAGCTCTCCTCTGAACTCCAAGTGGACACCACACACAGCTACACATACACATTAATAACTAAATGAAAAAAAATGATAAAATTTCAAAAGAGAAATACTCGGGTTTGGGGATTAAGAATGCACAACAAATCCGGGATGGAGATTTGAGAGGAGGTGGGTGAACAGCTAAGACCTTCGAGGGTCTTCTACTTTGTCCCAGTCCTGTTCCCTCTAGCCCAGATTGGTCCTTGTCTCAGGGTCTCACCCAGTGCACCACTCTGGCTCCTCCCTCCCCAAGCTGCTCTGGTGTCACGGGCTGGCCGGCCGGGGAGGCTGCTTCTAGGCCCCGCCTAGGTCACGGGTCACGGCTGTGCGGCAGAAGGTACCCCGCGCCTCTCACGGTGACCTCGGGCTAGTGGTGTCCCTGCCTCGTGCGTGACTCCGCCCCTGCGCTCCTCCCCTCCTCCCCGCGCGTTTTGTCTTCTCTCCGGCGCAGCAGCCGCACGCACACCTGAGTCCTCGGGTCCTCCTCGCTTGTCCCCAGCCCGGTGTGTCCTGCGAGCCCATGGAGCCGGCTCCCAGTGCGCCTCCGGGGGACGGCGCTGCTGAGGCGCTACTGAGAGAGCTGGAGCGTCAGGTGCAGGATGTGGTGCGGGCGAGCTCGTGGTGGGAGCGCCACGGTGTGGACTGCGCCATCCTCGCTCTCAGCCTGCTCGCCTTGCCGGCCGGTGAGACGGAGGCACGGGATGCGGATGGGGGTGGCGCACGGCTGAAGGTGGTGCAGATTGGAAGGGAAGCTCGGGACTTCAGGATCCTGGATCCCACCTCACTCTCCAAAATCTAGCTGGGGGTGTCCACCTCATGTTCCGCTGGAGGTGGGAGAAAGTCCGATGCTTGAAAGTGGTGGAGGAAAAAGTTGCACAAGGAGTCGTGGATGGGTGGGGAAGGGGAGAGTGAACGGGAAGAGCATGTTCTACGAGCGAGCGGGCGACATCGGAGATGGGCAGAGTAGGACTGAGGAAGTGTTCTCCACCTCTAGCGGTCTAATGACTGTGACATCCAGTCCCCCTTCTGCTCTGGCTGGGGCTCAGGAGGGTGACCTGGCAGAATGAGGACAGAATAATATCCTTGGAAAGCCCAGTGAGGATTTTTTTTGTGTGTCCCAAATCCTACAGAGAAAGTCAAACTACCCCTCTCAGGCCTTAGAGGAACCTACCATAGGCCGAAGGCTGACCCTCTTTGGCCCGGGGTTTGGGAAAGTGTGTGTATGTGGGTCTGGACCCATATTTTCAAAAGATGGCGAAAGATCCTGATCCCTGGTCCCTCCTTTTTGCAGGGTTCCTGTGCCTACGCTTCCATAATATCCTGGCCTTTGTCACTGGCATCACAATCTTGGGTGTGTGCCATTACACACTCACGGTCAAGGGCAGCCACCTTGCTACTCACAGTGCCCTCACAGAGTCCAAACGCTGGAGCAAGATCTTGATGGTTTTCTTTCTGGAGGTGAGCCTGGCTGGATGGGGGCAGTCGCTGGGCAACTCTGTGTGTTCAAGTTCAAATGGGCTGGGAGCTGCCACAGTGGGTAGGTAGATCCAAGTGTGTGGTGTGCAATACTGTGTGTGTGTGTGTGTGGTATGTGTGTGTACCTGTGTGTTTGTCCAAGGCCTTGAGAGAAAGTTGGTGTTGGGGGTAGTCTTTTGTCCTACGTAGCCGACGCCTGCCTATGACAATGAACGTGGTATACCTTGTGATAAGCTTCATTGGCTGAGCAGCAGAGACATTTTTGGCCTCAGGGCATTCCTTGTCCTCCGACTCCTTTAGTCCTTGTCTTACCTCTCTGTAGCACTAGGCCAAAGGTGGATGGTGTTTCCTTCCTTTCAGGAGGCTGCCTACAACTGGCCAGTCTTGCTCTGGGGCTGTGTTGCCTCACAGAAGCCTCCAGGTTCTGCAATCAGGGCTTATTGTCTGAAGGGTGGATGGTGAGGCAGAATGGGCGTGTGTGTCGGGGTGCTGGGGGGTGCTGGGGACAGTGTCACAGCACCACACCATACACACACACACACACACACACACACACACACACACACACACACACAGCTCTGCAGTCTGCCCCTCTTACACCTGCTGATGGCTGTGCCATCTTGAGAAGCTCCTTGCTCCTGTAACCTCCAGAAAGGACTCAGCTCTCTTCCTCTACCCCCTCCTTGCTAGGCCTTCTCACCAGTGAGCCTACCAGGAAGGCAAAGGCCTTCTTCAGGCCTCCCCAGATCCTCTACCAAACTTGCTCTCCCTTCTACTCCAAGGGATTCTCACCTAGCCAGCCGGGCCCCTTAGGGGTACACGGGGAAGCGATTAGTAGGGACAGGCCTTTCTGGAAAGGTCTTTCTATGGGGACCAACCAACCCAATTACTATCTTTTTATAAATTTATTTGTTTTGTTTGGATGTGTTGGGGGAGGGTGGTTCATGAGCCATGGCACACCAGGGAAGGTCAGATGTCAACATGTGACAGTTCTCAGTTTGTTTGGTTTGTTTTTTATTTATTTTATGTATGTGAGTGCACTGTTGCTGTCTTCAGACACACCGGAAGAGGGCATCCGATCCCATTACAGATGGTTGTGAGCCACCATGTGGTTGCTGAGAATTGAACTCAGGACCTCTGGAAGAGCAATGCTCTTAACGGCTGAGCCATCTCTCCAGCCCAGGTCTCAGTTTTCTCTTGCCACTATTTGGGTTCTGGGATTCCAACTCAAGCCCTTAGGCTAGACAGCAAGTTTAACTTGTGTGATCTTGAGAGTCCTTGTTTGTATTTATGTGTAGATGTGTGCAATTGCCCGTCTGTATACAACGTACACAGTGTGTACCACATGTACACACTGACCATGAAGGCCAGAGAGGGTATCGCATCCCCAGGAACTGGAGTTACGTGTGGCTGTGAACTATACAACATGAAACCTCGGAATGGGACTGGGGTCTTCTGTAAGAGCAGCCATTACTCTCAACTGTCGAGTCATCTCTTCTGCCCCCTGAATCATAAAAATCAACTTTATGCACAACACAGACAGACAGACAGACAGACAGACACACACACACACACACACACACACACACACACACACACACACACA